CCCCCCCCCCCACCTCCTCCCACCTTCCAAAGAAGTGAAAAGTAGCCGGAAATCTTCATATCTTCCAAACACGATCCGTTCCACAAACACTTCTTTCTAAGCAGCACAAAGTAAAACATTGAACTGTGTAAAATGTAAATAAACTCATAAAAACGAAAGAAGTCGAAATCGTTAAAAATGTTCAAAAAATGTGTAAAAAATGACAATTTCCCTGAAGAGAGTATCGAATATTGATTGTGTAACTTAATTTGAGCCTAACATGACCCCATCTCATTGAACAATCCATAATACCATGTAATGATTCAGCTGTACAAGCAGAACAGCGGTTCTTTCGATCGATCCCCCATAGCACTTCATTGCTGAAGGATGTGAAGCTGGCTGAGTTTCCTAACTCGATTGTTTATTAATTAGTTTTACATTTTTAATCAAAATGCTCTATGAGAGTTCTAAGCTCCATCGGCATTTTTGTATTAGCTCATATGCAATTCATGTCATTAGAAAGCTACGTTCCCACTGGAAACAATAGTGATCAGTTGTTTCCCGGGAGGGTACACTTTTTGTCGAAAGGCTCACTTAAAAAGTAATTTTTTTTTTACAATTTTCATCAAAGCCTTCTGGTAAGTGCCGAACTTTGGTCGCCAGTTAATATACAAAGAACACAGGGCCCACAAATGCGTGGGACGGAGGATTAAAACACGACATTGAAAAAGAAGAAAAGATACTTTGTTGGTGACTCTTGGGAAGGAACTAATCCTTATCATTACTGCGGTGCTCTTATCGATGACAACCTTGTGAGTGAACCTTTCAATCACTGCTATACTCAGTATTATGTAGCTGTCAGTTTTGTATAGACATTACACAACACACAAATGTCAGCAGTGACCTAATATTTGTACTGCCTTCGATACTTACCTGCTGGAAAGTACAATCGATGAATTTTCTTCATCACTGGGCGAATTTTGGAACAGCGATGCTTACGGTTCTCATGGAAATCTGAAAACAAACATATAACTAGTAACATCAAATAAACAAAATCAGGAATCTTGGGAAAGCTGTCGAAAAAGAAACTAACCGTTGTGCTTCCTTCGCACTCGCAATCAGTCGAGAATGACTCCAAACCGCGGGGCCCGCGGATGGACGGTTCGATAATTTGAAGGAGATGATACTCGAGTTTGATCTCAGGGCCATAAGTACGGGGCAGTACTAGTTTACAATACTTCGTATCCGTCCGAATCAGCTTTTCTGAATAACTTCATTCAAGAACGACAAAGAACAAAACATCAAAGCTTGACGCTGATCAATCCCATCTGTGGTACGCACTCCGCATTCGACTTTCATTCACAACCATAGAGTAGTATTGAATGTGTATATGTACGTATACAATGCATCGTGGTCGCCAGCCGATGTCTACATCAGCGCTTATATCCTCCAAGACTACTCTGGTACCAAGTTTTCCAGCCCTCAGGAACGGATGGCTTGGTTGGCTTGAGCGGATATCGATCCGAGTTCGGTCCCTAGACCATGCATGTGCGCTAGTACGTCACTTGCCATTTTTAGAAATACAAAAAATTACAACAAAACATAATAGAAATGTGAAAAGAAGTTCAAAAAAATGCTTAGGTCCCAATTAAGCGGCCAAAGCTGTACTCTAGCAGTCCTACAGCCAGTTCTAACAAAATGTGTTGTTTCCGCCGGCAATAAGAAGGCCCACTAACGAGTGGGTGTTAAGTATTGAGTGAGTGATTCCATGAGCCCTTTATTTGATTCAACGGTATCAAAAATAATTGATCTCTTCAATCTAATGAAGAAAATGAAAAAAAAAAACAGGAATGAACTGATTATTGCCAGCAGCACTACTGGTACTATTACTCATGTACCTAAGTTTGTTGCACAGTACTCATGTCTTTCGGATTTTTATGCAGCCTTTTTAGCCTTGCGCTCTTCCATTATCTCTGATTTAGGAGAACCAATCCATGTATAAAAATAATTGTGAGGCATAATTATAATATGAATGTGTACCGTAACCAACATGTGTAGCCTAATGTAAAAGGGAAAAGACTTTGAGGTCAACCAATTCCGTTTTGGATGTCCCTCACATGCGGCTTCCATTCAAAATCGTAGTGGCGTATTCGATGTACATGTCAGTGCTTTCATCCTCCCAGACTGCTTGGGTACCAATTTAACGATCCCGGAGGGTGGAAGGCTTTGTTGGCTGCTTAAGCGAATATCGATCCGCGATCTCGAGTGACAGTGGGCTACTTGTTGCTACATGATCTTTAACATAAAATATGCAGGAGCTACTCTACCCTATGAGTTCTGCAAAGCACGCCACGAAGTAGCCCTGCCCTGTCTAACGCTCCTTCTCAGTTCTTATATTGTACTTCTAGTTCAAATGTGTNGTACAATTTTTCACTATTGCCTGTCCCCACAAATATTGGGAAGAGTGGAACTCAGGCAGTGTTCACGTTGCCGAGCATACGTCTCGACTCATCTTACGTCTGTGATCTTCAAGAAGCGGGCGCTCTTAGTCCCCCGAAATATTAATTTCAGGGAACTCAAGAATATGTCGGTTCCAATGAGAAACGGCGCTCGCTGCTCTGAAAAGTGGACAGAACGACAATAAGCATGGTATTATCTATCAAGACATGTTAGTAATTTCAAAGGCTGTCGAGTTATAACAAGGCTTTAGTAGTTCCAATCCGTCTCCACATATGACTCAATCCACATCTTTTCAGGTTTGGGAAATGGAATTCTCGTTTGTCAATGGAACACGTAGTGCCACACCATTTCTGCTTCACAAGGACAGCCTCCATACAAACTCGCATTTCGTTCTGAGAGTTCTTTTATCTGATAGTTCTCCTTCATATATCACGCCTTTCCTGAAACAGATCCAAGTCCTCTTAATCAGCATCACCAGATATAGACGACATTTATCGTTTTGTTCAAAGTGGCAACCTCGCTTTCATCTTGATGGGCTTAGTTGAGTAAAGTGCCTAAGTTAGAGTTGTGAAGAAGACTTGAAGGTTTTCTTTACGAGCCAACTCTGTATTTCAGCAGAATACCAT